GCTTCTATAAGTTGCTTTGGGGGTGATTTAGCCAGCGAACTCACGAAGAAGGACAATGCTTACAAGTCGTTAAACGTTAGTGCTACCACGGCAGATGGAAGCCCACAACGTATAGTAGGCAAGATGAAAGTTAACATAGAGTATGGAAACATTCAAAAGATTTTAAACATTTATATTGTACCTCACTAAAGCAAGATCTATACTTGGGCATACATTTTTGGAGGCTGTATGATCTTCTTCCCAAAAATCTGCATATATCCGAGCTAGAATCTAAAAAGTCTACCAAAATTAGCAGCGACGTCGAGGTAGATCAACACGACTTGTCTGAAGCAGAAAAGTTAAGATTAGTTAAAGTTATCAATTCGTTTCCATCATTCGCTCAGGAAGGTCTTGCGCAGACTAGTTTGATAGCACATTAAATTGACGCGGGCAGTGCTAAGTCAGTTAAAGCGTCATTTTCCCGTCTCACCTGCCGTTGAGAAGAGTATGTACGCAGAAATAGACAGAATGTTGCAATTAGGGGTTATTGAAGAGTCGGAAAGCGCATGGTTCTCTCCCATCGTCATGGTTACTAAACCTGGCAAGGTGAGGATTTGTTTAGATTGCCGAAAGGTCAATAGTTTCACCGAGAAAGACGCATATCCACTTCCGCAAATCAGCGGCATCTTAAGTCGGTTGCCAAGAGCCGAGTATATTACTAGTCTTGACTTGAAAGATGCATATTGGCAAGTGCCATTGGAAGTTCAACCCCGAGACAAGTCTGCATTTACAGTCCCCGGTAGGCCACTAATTTAAAGTAATGCCTTTTGGGCTTTGTAATTCCACCAGCACAATGCCTCGCTTGATGGACAAATTCGTCCCACCGCATCTCAGGAAGGAGGTATTTATATACTTGGATGACCTCCTGGTAGTATCGTCAACTTTTGAGAATCATCTTAACGTACTTAGGGAGATCGCCGTTCACATCAAGCGTGCAGGATTGACAATCAATATTGGCAAAAGTCATTTCGACGTGTACGTTATCTGGGCCATATCATTGGTGATGTCGGAACTCGAACAGATCCTGAAAGGGTGAAAGCAATCACCGAGTTTCCCGTTTCGAAAACCCTGCGAGGTTTGAGGAGTTTTATGGGCTTATGTGGGTGGTACCGCAAATTCGTTCCGAATTTCGCATCACTCGCTTCTCCTTTAACTGATTTAATGACAACCAAACGAAAGTTCAGTCTAACTCCAGAAGCACTAAAAGCCTTTGAAATCTTGAAGACTCGTCTTAGCGAAGCTCCGGTGTTATGTAGCCCGGACTTTTCTAAACCATTTGCTATCCATTGCGATGCTAGCAAGTCTGGTGTCGGTGCTGTGTTAGTACAGGTATCTCAGGAAGGAGACGAACGTCCTATAGCATTTATCTCGAAAAAACTAAATCGAGCTCTAAGAAATTACGTGGAAGGACATGATTTCACGATCATAACTGACCACGCCTCGCTTAAATGGCTTATGTCTAACCATGATCTCAGTTCTCGTTTAGCTCGATGGGCGTTAGCCTTGCAAAGTTATCGATATAAAATTGAGCATCGTAAGGTTACAATGAACGTGGTACCTGATTCCTTGTCCCGCGTTAACGAGAACGAAGTCGCGGCGATAGATTTGCGGGAAGGTTTGTTAGTCGATATGAATTCAAACCACTTTAAATCTCCTGCTTACAAAGATCTAGTAGCTAAGGTTGAAGAGAAGAAAGATAATATCCCTGATCTTAAAACAGAGGAGGGGTAATTGTATAGAAAAGCAGAACATTTAACTGGAGAACAAGTACACGAAGAATACGCATGGAAGCTTTGGTTACCATCAGAGCTGATCCCCGAAGTTCTTTTCCAAGCCCGTAACAGTCCATTGGCTTCCCACGGCGGGATACATAAGTCTGTCGAGCGCGTTAGGAGGTATTATTTTTGGCCTCGCCTCGTGCCTGACGTGAAAGCAGACATGTAAGTCGACTAAACCACCGAATCATGTTCTCAGACCACAGCTAGAAAAAGCGCCAGAAACCGTGCGACTTTTTCAACAAATTTTCATCGATTTCATCGGGATTTTCATAGTCCTAGATCATTTTTCTAAATTTGTATTTCTAATACTTGTAAAGAAGATTAATGCTAGTGTTGTTATTAAGTACCTCGAAGGCGAGCTCTTCATGACTTTCGGTGTCCCGGAAACGGTCGTATCAGACAACGGATCACAATTCCGTTCTGAAGCGTTTCAGAAACTGATGAAGACATATGAGATTTCACACGTGCTGACGGCTGTTTATTCGCCTCAAGCTAACGCCTCTGAGCGAGTCAATCGTTCTGTTATTTCAGCGATTTGAGCTTACCTTCGTCCAGATCAGAAAGATTGGGATGAGTATTTGAATAGGATATGTTGTGCCTTGAGATCCTCGATACATGCCAGTATCGGTACAACGCCGTACTATATGGCTTTCGGCCAGCATATGGCAACTTCCGGTTCTACTTATGCCTTGCTAAGGAGACTGAACATGCTAGATGATCATTCTTTGATGTTTAATAGGCAAGATTCATTTGAAATAATGCGAGAGGAAGCGACTATCCAAATGCAGAAAGCTCACGATCGTAACGAAAAGCGTTATAATTTGCGCTCGAGAGATGTTTCCTACGCTGAACGGCAAGAGGTATTTCGACGCAATTTCAAGCAAAGTTGCTTTCAGACCGGCTATAACGCCAAGTTTGGTCCATCATTTGTAAAAGCCCGAGTTCGAAGAAAATTGGGCAGATCTTATTACGAACTAGAGGACTTGCAAGGTCGACTCTTGGGTAACTATTACGCGAAAGACATTCGCCAGTGATGCGACTCCAGGCGGTAATCTGTCTAGGGTATCTAGAGCCAAATACCCTAGCCTGATTCTAGCGGGGGGGTTTTTGTAACGGCGCCTGTAGCGACTGGCGAGCCTAGGTTCAGCCTGAAAGCCTACTATATAGGATCCGCTTAAACCAAAGCTTGACCTAGTGTAGCCACCTGTGTCGGCTATTCGATATTTCGATAGTTTTGAACAGCTGAGCCAGGGTGGTCTTGGAAAGTTCTAGTTTTGACACCTGTCGGTCGTCATATGATATATATTTCCGCTAAAAGCCTCACTGGTATCCAGCCGATTCCGGTTAAGTTCTTCTTATTTTAACCTGCGAGAAAAACGGACTTGCCAACAGCTCAAAATTTTAATTTCAAATTAAAGACTAAAAGTCCGAAATATATATTTTTTGAGTGGCATCCAGTATGTTTGAGTGGCATCCAGTATTCTAAGTGGTGTTTAGCACTCAGTGTGGCTGCCAGCTATAAAAGCTAGCCAGCGAATAAAGCTTAAAGTAAGTGCAAGTGCATTTGTTTAGAAATTGGTGCGTATTTAACCTCCAACAAAATTTCACTACAGGTATTTTTTAAAATTCCGGGTTGAAAACCCAGCCAGTGCTGCCACAAGTTACCGCCAAAGGCGCATCTTATTGATTCGGCCAATTTACTGGAGGATTTACCACCTCAAGAAGGCCAAAATCAAATCTCGGGGCCCAATCGTCAGGTATGGTTTTTTGAGACACACATGTCGCCATATCTGTAATTAATTTGAATGCCCAATCGTCAGGTTGGCCCGCGAGGAATGATTTGGAGAGATTAGTGCCCTGAAGTACCCCTATCTACGGGTCAAGTAGTGCCGGCCAAGAAGAGCAGTTTATATAAAGAGGATCCGATGGCAGTTTAATTCAATTATATAACCTGTCCCGATGCCCATCATGCCGCGCATCCGTACACCAGCCGAGTTTTAAGGGGTGCGCGTATCCGTCTGGGAGGTTTCCGAGTGGAATATCGCTGCCGCAGATTTAGGGATTTGTACCCGCTTATGTTGTAAAAGCGCCGCGTGTGTGAACGGCCTTAACCTAGCATGGCACACTAGCCAACCGGGTTTAACCTTAATGGAGATAAAAACTCTCCTTCGTTTGGACAAGTCCTAACCCTGTTATATAACCAACGCGCTTTGAGAAACCGAATTTAAGAATTAATGTGAATAGAAAATCAATGAAATCAAAGATATGTAAGCCATAAAACAAACAATAATTTTTCGTAAAGCTTCAAGTGGCAACGCCATGTAAAGCGGTAGTTATATTTGACAAGTTGAAAGAAAACAAGGAAGAACGCTATAGTCGAGTACCTCGACTATCAGATACCCGTTACTCAGCTATATGGAGATATGCAAGCAGCAAAGCGAGATTAAAATGCGCCACCTACCGGCGGTATACAGATTTAAGCGTTATGGGCGTTAGAGTGGGCGTGGCAAATTTTTTTTTGGATCAATCGATAGGTATCGACGAGACCAATACATTTCAGGTAAAATTTTTTATCTAGCATGAAAATTGTGGGCGTCACAGGTTTTCGCGGTTTGTGGGCGTTAAAGTGGGCGTGGCAAACTTTTTTTTGGGTCAATCGATAGGTATTGATGAGAACATTACATTTCAGCTAAAATTTTTATTCTAGCATCAAAACTGTAGGAGCCACAGTTTTGGGCAGTTTGTGGGCGTTAGAGTGGGCGTGGCACTCTACTGAAACAAACTTGCGCTGCGTAAGAAGCTCAGGAATCTGCACGCCAAATCTCAATAGCCTAGCTCTCATAGTTTCCGAGATCTCAGCGTTCATCCGGACGGACAGACAGACGGACAGACGGACATGGCTAGATCGACTCGGCTAGTGATCCTGATCAAGAATATATATACTTTGTGGGGTCGGAAACGCTTCCTTCTGCCTGTTACATACTTTCCGACGAATCTAGTATACCCTTTTACTCTACGAGTAACGGGTATAATAACCAGTCACTCGGGTTAAAAGAGATAATGCACGCCGAGAAGCATTAATTTTATTTAAGAAGAGCTAGATTTTTTTTTAGATTTAAATGAGAAATTTGTTATTGTAAAGCATTCAAGGAAGTACGATGAATTAGGTACGGGATACAAGTTTAGTTTAAATCGTTCGCGCGTCTAAGAGAAATGAGAGAAATGTTTATTTGCCCTTTAAATTCTACATGGCGAGAAATATCGCTACCCTTTAGATTACAGCCAACCCATCCCGTCCGGAGATCGATCTTCAACGTTGGAGGAAACGCCGTGAGTCACACTAACTAATCACATATATATATTACTTTATTCACATTTCTCGCCGATCCGTAAAGTGAACGAAACCTATTTAAACATAAGCCCCGATCTAAAAACAATTAATTAATTAAAATATCTTGAGTTATTTGCATTCTCTATGAATTAATTTGCGATTTTCAAAAGAAGTTGAATATAATAATTTAGATCGATCGCCTATTATTAAATCTTAAAGTCTCTAATTGCCTGAATACATGAATTGATAAATTTAGAAAGTCCCTTGAAGAAGTTTTTAGAGAGATAAAAAAAACTATTTCTTTAAGATAAAATTTATATTTAGTAAAATACATTTTGTTATAACATGAACATTATCTTCCTATGCCTTATTTTTTCAAATACTCTATGTTCTTCTTATAAATATTAAACATGACTTGTATCGCTATCTACGGAAAATTAATAAGCTTTTCGAACAGAAATAAAACCTTGGATCTGTAAAGAACATTGAACTGAACTAAGCTGATGGTTTCTCGATCGTAGGGTATCAAAGGGGTCACCGAAGCCATGCTTTAAGGTGGTGATCATAGTTTGGGAGGGCCATACGCGACCACAATACCATCAGTGGATTCGCATAGCTAACTTTCTCCAAAACTTTTCTGTCCCTATAATCCTTATTCCTGAATTTATTTATCGCTCTCTTCCGGTTTTAGTTTACTATCCTCTCTCGTCGCTAGCACTCTTATTTCTGATCTTAATGATAATAATGTGTAGTCAGTACGCGAATCTGGAGGCGCAAGACCTCCACCCCCAAAACCGACAAGCGAGTGCCGGACCCTAATAGCGTGCCCCGCAACTGCAGATTCCCGATTTCATCCAACCGCTACACGCTACACATTTTTTTAAAATAATCTTGTTATGTGCCGTGAATATTCGGCGAAATTATTTATGAAGCGTCTATAATAATTGCAAAATGCTACAAATCGTCTAGCGCTGTCCGCATCGTGCGGCGCAGGGTAATTCATAATGACGTCATATTTCTTGTCGTCTGGAAGTATTCCTTTATCTGTGCATTTATGACCGAGAAAAGTCACTTCATGCATACAAAATGAACATTTTTCTGGATGTTACTTTAGATTGTATTTCCTGCATTTCACAAAAAACGTCTGTTAAGTTTTTAAGCATATGTTTCTCGGAACAACCTATAACTATTAAGTCATCCATATAAAGGAATGCTTGTGAGGGTTCTAATCCGGAGAATGCAATAGTCATCATTCTTTAAAATGAATAAGGCGCTATTTTTAATCCGAAAGGTAATCGCGTGAAGCGATACGAGCCATTGCTCGTTGAAAATGACGTTATATCCCTTGAACTTTTTTCGAGTTCAATCTGATGAAATCCTGACATTAAGTCAAGGCATTAAGAATATATTGCTCGTCCCAGTTGATCCAAAATATCATCAATTTTTGGGAGTGGAAATTTATCGGATAGTAATTTTTTATTAATTTGACGGTAGTCAATCACTAATTGCCATTTCTTTTGTTCTGAACCTGGAGATGGTTTTTTAGGAACAAGTAAGAAAGGGCTATTATATTCAGATACAGATGGTTCAACAATCCCATCGATGATCAATTTTCCGACTTGTTTCTGTATTTCGTTCACCTGACTGTGTGGGCTTCTGTAATTTTTTATATACAGTGGTTCTTCATTCTTCAGATATTAAAGATTTTTATCTATTTTCTAGATTAGTTTTGACTACATCGTAGTTCGAAAGTGATTCATAAGCTAAATTATTTGTACTGACTACTTGATCTTTATTTGTGGTATCTTTAACTTCTGAGATGTCTGCACCTGCGTCTACTAAATAGACAAGTTCTTTTCCTGTAGCAACATGATTGAATGATACAAATATGTTCCTACTGAGACTAACGGTATGAACCCTTGCATTTTCTTCTGTTGAATATCTAAAGGGTTTTGTAAGTTTTCCCGATGTACTATTGGTTTGGCTATTGGTTACTCGGACATTATTTTGGTTATTATTGTTGTGGCCTCGACTCGAGTTGCCACTGCCTCTATAGTTTCCTCTATATTGGCCTCGTCCAGTATTTTTTTGGGTACTATTGTTGTTGTAATTATTATTACGACCACGAAAGTTACCTCTGTAATTTCCTCGTCCGCGGTTTCCGCCGCGCTGCGGGTAATTTTTGTAATATGGGACAGTGTTGCTTCTGTGCAACTGTTTACAAATTTTGATATGGCATCATTCATAGTATTGAAGGTACCAGCTTCCATGATAAGTTTTACCTTATCGATTGTACAATTTTTAGTCATTGCTTTGACTGCATGCTGAGTTGAATAACTTCTGGCTAACTCTAGGGGTAAGCCATCTGTTAAATATGCACCTTCTAAAGAGTTTGTCATTTGCTCAATCTCTTGTGTGTACTGGTTGGCAGTTTTATTGCGTTGCTGTAGGTTCATCAGTTTTGCTGACAACACCTCTACAGTTTCGCCTTTGACGTTGCTTTTTAATTTGGAAATGACTTCAGTTATTGTTGTTTCATTTCCGATTAGATTTCTGGCGACACCTTTTAGCTTTGATTTTATTATGGAAACTGGTGATTGTTCGTGATCGCCTTTTATTGATTCTATTATTTGTAATGCCTCAATAAAACTTGTTAAGTTTTCAGCTTTACCATCGAAAACTGGTATAAGCTTGGATGCTGTATTAATAAAATCAATATTAGATTGCGTCATTGTCATATTGATGCTAAATTTATTTTCAATTACGGCATCAGAATGTGTAGAATTATCCAGATCTGTCATTAAAACAGCTGGAATAGTAATGTTATTTAAATCTTGCTCTTCTATTTTAGGGTTTGTCTCTGTAAGCTCTTTTGACTCTATTTGGTCAATGTGAAGTTGTTCTGTTGATTCCGGTTCATCACCAGTTTCAACTGATAGAGAAGTGTTAAGTATGGTCGGTACTGATATATCTAAATTGAACTTTAGTTTAATTGATATTAAATTAGATCGTAGTCTGATCAAAAATTTGTATACTTGGGACCAAGGATCTTGATTTAATTTTTTTCTCTGGCCACGTATTAGTATACGTGCTTTATTAAGGCTACTAGTATTTCTGCATGATTTTTAATAGTATTGTTTTGAAATGGCCTGTTTTGTGTAAGTGACTTATATGATTTATAAAAGTCAATTTTTATGTTACTTATTTCGTTATATAATTCATTCCATTCCGTTATATTATGGAGATGAGTTATTTCTTAAGGACCGTCATTACTATTACTCTACCTACTATTGGGTGTTCGTCTACTACTGATATAACTTGTACACCTGGAATGGTGGATAATACAATTCCCTTTTGGGTGTTGTGCAATGTATTAGTGGAGAAGAATCCAAGTTAAATGTTTCAATATATAAATTTTCTAATTCATAAATGCTTACTGAAGTCGCTGAAACTAATTGAAGAATTCTTTCTTTAAAATGAATGTCCCTATCATATGTGTGTCTAATGGCCTTTAGTGTAGCCATTTTTAGTTAATATATTTTTATACCCGTTACTCGTAAAGTAAAAGGGTATACTAGATTCGTCGGAAAGTATGTAACAGGCAGAAGGAAGCGTTTCCGACCCCATGAAGTATATATATTCTTGATCAGGATCACTAGCCGAGTCGATCTAAGTAGTAGGGAAACGCGGATTCTGGGACAATTAGCATATTAATGGAACCCGCCCCCCCTCCCCCCCTCATTAACGTATGCGGGTTCTGGGACAACTAGCATAATCCAATAAATTAACTGATTTAAATGGGCCTTGAAGTCATAAAAATGTCACGATCATGTCTATAAAGAGTAAAATTAATTGACCCCATCGCCCCCACATCCCCATGTGACAATATTGATCATGTATCCTTCCCCTTATTATGTGCAATTAATAGTCAGGTGAGAAAGGTGCACGTGAGAAAGGTCGCACAACCATAGTATCCAAAGGTTGTTATCTTAGAGGAACATATCCGATCATGTTGGGGAAAGGTGTGATCACGTACCCTTTTGCCTCATTATCACAGGTGTTGCTGTGCACGTGTGAAAGGTCGCACACCCAAAGTATTTAAAGATGGTTATCTTAGAGGAATATGTCCGATCATGTTGGGGTATAATGTTTCCTATGATTATATAATTAATTTAAAAATCAAAAGAACCCCAATAAAATAAATCTCACAAGTTAATGATTCTCAGATGTGGAATATTTTCAAATACACATTTTTGTTTCCGCCCCAGAATGTTTAACTGGTAAATTGTCTAAGATTCTCTCCTTTCCACAAATCGGTCATAAACATGTCATAAAAGGGATTCAAGCAAGAGCTACCCGAACATGCGCACCTGTCAATTACCTGACCGCAATAAAAGGGACACATGCACAACCCAGAAGGCGCACGCTCATTGACAAGATCATGGGCCTCACGCCAACGACCTCATACGACGTTCCCATAATAGGGGTTGAAATCACGACCGCGCAACAACTCGCAAGTAGCCGACATATCTCAGTCAAGGAAATATTTTCCCTTCTCCGTAACTGTAATTTTAACTCGAAATAAAAAGTCAGAAGTTTATTTTGTAGCATAATAATACATTTATTCATTTATTTTGGTATTGCGAACATGTTTTAATGTGTTATTTAATCATTTTCATTCTTTTTTCTAGATTATAGTATATATTCATAATGTTGAGTGCTTCCTTTTTGTAATCAGAAATTCGATGGCATACACAAGTATCAACTCCCTCAGTGGCTGCATCATTGCTCCACACGCAGGTGTCCATATGATTTCCATGAATAGATGTTTTCATGTTACCTCGTTCACATTCAAAGAGTTTTGATTGTATGAACTGGAGCCGTACATAATGTGCATTGAACAGAATTCCGTCAAATACATTCAGAAAGTTATTTATTTTAACTGAGTGCATGTTGTCTACCCTTTTTGTCTTACCCTTTTTAATATGCTTACACAATTTATAAGAAAATTTTATACAGGTTTTCATCTTCTTCTTTTACCCAAAAATATGCATTCTCGAAATTCAACTAATGAAAATCTTTGATTTTTCCTCTTCTTTTACCCAAAAATGTGCCTTCTCGAAATTCAACAAATGAAAATATTTGTTTTTTCCCAAACTCGAAATGATTTTTTCCAAACTGTCCCCTATTGGCTACCTGAGTATGATGGTGTGTATAAAAAATGACCTTTCCTTTCCCACCTGCAGCAAAGTATGTGCGACCTCTTCTAACCAACTCTCCTTAATTCTATGATTCTGTGTCTCCTTTATCGATTTGATGGTGTCCTATTGGTTACACATGTATCAAATATTTTTCAAAATCAATACTTCTCATCTCTTCTAACCAATGAATAGTCGATGTAACCTACTAGAATTACCTTAGTTTTTGAATTTAAAAAAATCTTAAGTATGCACCTTTCATCTTCAATATTATCGTACACGCCCACTTCAAACACTATAAATGATTGAGGACAATAGTTAGTCTACCAAAAATAGTCTTGAAGTGGGATACTCTGCAACGCCAAACACAACTTAAGTAAAAGTGAAAAAAGTGATCGTGAAAAAAGAATTTTACCAAAACGAATAAAGTAAAATGAATAACCAAAATCAGTTTTGTCAATCCTGCAAGTGTTTCTTGCTAAAGAATAAGTGGGCAAATCATGTCCGTTCGGAGTTGCATAAGCGAAATGCAATTCAACCCTTTGACGGAAGAGTCAAAAAAATTTCTGAGGGATTCAAGGGAAGAATACTACATTACATGTACGTAAACGATGGATCGGACTTGATCTTACCAGAGAGTTTCTTGAGTGAAGCTGGTTTGTCCCTGCTACCTCATCTCAGCATTTTGTTAGAAAGTTATACTTCAGCAAAAGTAAACATTGAACTGTTTGCAGAGTATATACTTTTTAAAGAAGAATCTGAAGAAATTGATATGAAAAGTTTTCAAAGTAAAATGACGATCATGAATAAAGATTCTGACTTAGAAAATATCTTCCATGAACATACTATGGAAATAATTTCAAAAACGCAAGAATTTCAAGAGAGAGATAGTAGATGGTCTCTTAAAAAATTGATATGCTTGGAAATGAATGTGAATCATTATACACCGATGGCTGATTCATCTTTCATACCACTACCTCGTTTCCTTTTAACGAAAAAAGCAATAGTTAACGTTTGTAACGAAAATGATCATTATTGTTTTAAATGGGCTTTGATTTCTGCCTTAAAAATTGTTAACAGGCCGCAAGGATGTTCGGCATATAATATTGATATATCGCTGGAGATAATTCGTATAAGTGATGAATAATATTAGATTTCACAGGGTTGACTTTCCCCCTTGAAATAAAATGTATAAAAAATTTTTTAAAGAAGAATACTCGTATGAGTTTAAACGTATTCGGATATAATGAAGAGACGAGGGAAATAATTGGACCGCTTTTTCAATCGGAAGTGGAAAAGCCTCTTCATATCAATATGATGTTTTTGGAAGAAGGTGGAAATGGACATTACATGTACATTAAAAATATTTCAAGGTAAATTCTTTTATACATTTTTATCTCTTTTAAGCAATGAACTAATTTGTATATATTTCTCTTTCAAAGACTGATGACTGCTCAAAGAGGAAAACAGAGGAGGGCGCAATTTTTCTGCAATGTGTGTTTGAATTTTTCCGGAACTCAGGAAGGTGCATTAAAACACAAGACGCTCTGCAGTAGGAAGGTTTCAAAGATGCCGCGCCCCCAGTACAACACACTGGAATTCACCCAAGTTCAACATCAGCTTCAAGTTCCATTTGTTGTCTACGCGGATTTTGAATGCATTCTGGAACCAAAAAATTTTGAAGTGAGCCCCAAATTATTTAATATTAATGAACATATTCCAATATCATATGCGTATTATATAAAGTGTGCTTTTGATTCTAGACTAGATAAATTTGTTTTAGAAACAGGAAAAAATTCGGTAGTAAGTTTTGTAAATTCATTGATAACAAATTTAACTAAATTGAGTGCTGACTACTTACATAAAATAGTTCCTATGAGAATGACTTTGGATGACAAGCAAATATTTGATAATTCATTGAATTTTTCTATTTGTCAGAAAGTTTTAGGGACTGATAGGGTTATAGATCATTGTCATTTCACAGGTCGTTTCAGAGGTGCAGCCCACTCTAAATGTAATCTGGATTATAAAGTTAACAAATTCATACCAATATTTTTTCATAATTTTTCGAAATACGACTGTCATTTTTTTATTCAAGAGTTGGGAAAGATTCCCGGTGAAATTTCCGTAATACCAATAAATAAGGAAAACTATATTTCTGTCTCAAAGAAAATAAAAAGTTTAAGTGGAAATAGTTTTGAAATTCGTTTTCTCGATACATATAGATTTATGCCATCAAGTTTAGATACCCTAGCTTCTAATTTAGTGGATGATCAATTGAACACTGTTAAATCGTTTTTCAGTAATTATATAGAATTTGGACTAATGCGTAGGAAGGGTATATTTCCCTATGAATATTTAGACTCCGCTGGTTGGCAGTTTTATTGCGTTGCTGTAGGTTCATCAGTTTTGCTGACAACACCTCTACAGTTTCGCCTTTGACGTTGCTTTTTAATTTGGAAATGACTTCAGTTATTGTTGTTTCATTTCCGATTAGATTTTTGGCGACACCTTTTAGCTTTGTTTTTATTATGGAAACTGGTGATTGTTCGTGATCGCCTTTTATTGATTCTATTATTTGTAATGCATCAATAAAACTTGTTAAGTTTTCAGCTTTACCATCGAAAACTGGTATAAGCTTGGATGCTGTATTAATAAAATCAATATTAGATTGCGTCATTGTCATATTGATGCTAAATTTATTTTCAATTACGGCATCAAAATGTGTAAAATTATCCAGATCTGACATTAAAACAGCTGGAATAGTAATGTTATTTAAATCTTGCTCTTCTATTTTAGGGTTTGTCTCTGTAAGCTCTTTGGACTCTATTTGGTCAATGTGAATTTGTTCTGTTGATTCCGGTTCATCACCACACAGAGAAAAAAACGGAACAATACCCGTTTGATATTGTCTTCTCAATTTTCACATATAAATTTTTTCATATCAAAATTATTCGAATTCATATCAATATGATACGAAATCATATCAACTTCAAATGTTAATATGAATCCGTATCATAATGATATGAATACTTAGCAAGTTGATAAGATTTTATATCAAACGTAACATCGAAAAGTCTTCGAAAAAATAGTATGACTGTAAATTCTTCCTTTTTGTGTATATTCTGTGTACAACGGTATAATAACGCTTTGTATGCGGTGGTCCCACTTTAATTTACTGCGTCAATTTTAGTGTTAAACGTGACAAAAGAAAAGTTTAAGGTGTTTATAAATGTAATTACTTGGTAAGTATGTATAATTTTAACTAAATTACTTTATTTGTGCATTAGTTTGTCGAAGTACCATGGAGGATGCTTCAATTCCTTACGGGCCACGAGGTCGATTTGGTTGTGCTTGACCTGCTTTTAGGTTTTTATAAATCAACATATGTGCACATATATATATATATATATATATATACATGTGTAAGCCATTATTAGTTGAGACTTATTTTTGCAATATATTCCTAGAGTGTGGATACAACTACGAAAGGCTGCAGTACATTAGTGCTTTAGATCTTGATTTAATATTTTGCAAGAGAGAACATCTTGGTCTGAATTCCAAAAATGGAAGCGAGCACAAGTAAGTTTAATTTTTAATATTTTCATAATAGGTTGTAATAATTTCAAATTTTAGCACATTGATGTCTGCGCAGGGGATACGACACAAACATATAAAGAAAAGGTGACTTTGAATGAAAATAAATTTTAAATAAAACTACAAATTTGTTTCTCTCAATAAAATGATTTTAATATCAAGCTGGGTATGAGTTAAGTGTCGAATTGATTTGACAAAATACCAGTTTGATATGAAAGAATACCAGTTTAATATAGAAAAACATAACGTGTTAAAATGATTAAAAGTTCAAATTTATATGATAAAATAATAGTTTCTTATCAAAAAGTATAAATTTGATATGGAAAAACATAACATGTTAAAATAAAAGAAATGTCAAATTGATACAAAAAAATATCAGTTTGATGTGAAAGCATATCAGTTTGATATGAAAGCATATCAGTTGGATATTAAAAAATACCACAATTTGGTCACAACTTTGATATGTGCTCATATCAATCTGGTATGAACAACACCAAATTGACGTTCGAAAATATCAATGTCACATGTTCGAAAATATGAATATGATATGGCAACATAAGGGATCAAAATTGATATGAAAAAATACCCGATTGATGACCAGTTTTGGTATTTTATTTTCTCTGTGCAGTTTCAACTGATAGAGAAGTGTTAAGTATGGTCGGTACTGATATATCTAAATTGAACTTTAGTTTAATTGATATTAAATTAGATCGTAGTCTGATCAAAAATTTGTATACTTGGGACCAAGGATCTTGATTTAATTTTTTTCTCTGGCCACGTATTAGTATACGTGCTTTATTAAGGCATTTTACTAGTATTTCTGCATGATTTTTAATAGTATTTTTTTGAAATGGCCTGTTTTGTGTAAGTGACTTATATGATTTATAAAAGTCAATTTTATGTTACTTATTTCGTTATATAATTCATTCCATTCCGTTATATTATGGAGATGAGTTATTTCTTAAGGACCGTCATTACTATTACTCTACCTACTATTGGGTGTTCGTCTACTACTGATATAACTTGTACACCTGGAATGGTGGATAATACAATTCCCTTTTGGGTGTTGTGCAATGTATTAGTGGAGAAGAATCCAAGTTAAATGTTTCAATATATAAATTTTCTAAATCATAAATGCTTACTGAAGTCGCTGAAACTAATTGAAGAAATCTTTCTTTAAAATGAATGTCCCTATCATATGTGTGTCTAATGGCCTTTAGTGTAGCCATTTATAGTTAATATATTTTTATACCCGTTACTCGTAAAGTAAAAGGGTATACTAGATTCGTCGGAAAGTATGTAACAGGCAGAAGGAAGCGTTTCCGACCCCATAAAGTATATATATTCTTGATCAGGATCACTAGCCGAGTCGATCTAAGTAGTAGGGAAACGCGGATTCTGGGACAATTAGCATATTAATGGAACCCGCCCCCCCTCCCCCCCTCATTAACGTATGCGGGTTCTGGGACAACTAGCATAATCCAATAAATTAACTGATTTTAATGGGCCTTGAAGTCATAAAAATGTCACGATCATGTCTATAAAGAGTAAAATTAATTGACCCCATCGCCCCCACATCCCCATGTGACAATATTGATCATGTATCCTTCCCCTTATTATGTGCAATTAATAGTCAGGTGAGAAAGGTGCACGTGAGAAAGGTCGCACAACCATAGTATCCAAAGGTTGTTATCTTAGAGGAACATATCCGATCATGTTGGGGAAAGGTGTGATCACGTACCCTTTTGCCTCATTATCACAGGTGTTGCTGTGCACGTGTGAAAGGTCGCACACCCAAAGTATTTAAAGATGGTTATCTTAGAGGAACATGTCCGATCATGTTGGGGTATAATGTTTCCTATGATTATAAAATTAATTTAAAAATCAAAAGAACCCTAATAAAATAAATCTCACAAGTTAATGATTCTCAGATGTGGAATATTTTCAAATACACATTTTTGTTTCCGCCCCAGAATGTTTAACTGGTAAATTGTCTAAGATTCTCTCCTTTCCACAAATCGGTCATAAACATGTCATAAAAGGGATTCAAGCAAGAGCTACCCGAACATGCGCACCTGTCAATTACCTGACCGCAATAAAAGGGACACATGCACAACCCAGAAGGCGCACGCTCATTGACAAGATCATGGGCCTCACGCCAACGACCTCATACGACGTTCCCATAATAGGGGTTGAAATCACGACCGCGCAACAGCTCGCAAGTAGCCGACATATCTCAGTCAAGGAAATATTTTCCCTTCTCCGTACCTGTAATTTTAACTCGAAATAAAAAGTCAGAAGTTTATTTTGTAGCATAATAATACATTTATTCATTTATTTTGGTATTGCGAACATGTTTTAATGTGTTATTTAATCATTTTCATTCTTTTTTCTAGATTATAGTATATATTCATAATGTTGAGTGCTTCCCTTTTGTAATCAGAAATTCGATGGCATACACAAGTATCAACTCCCTCAGTGGCTGCATCATTGCTCCACACGCAGGTGTCCATATGATTTCCATGAATAGATGTTTTCATGTTACCTCGTTCACATTCAAAGAGTTTGGATTGTATGAACTGGAGCCGTACATAATGTGCATTGAACAGAATTCCGTAAAATACATTCAGAAAGGTATTTATTTTAACTGAATGCATGTTGTCTATCTAAGTCAACAGTCCCGTCTTACCCTTTTTAATATGCTTACACAATTTATAAGAAAATTTTATACAGGTTTTCATCTTCTTCTTTTACCCAAAAATATGCATTCTCGAAATTCAACTAATGAAAATCTTTGACTTTTCCTCTTCTTTTACCCAAAAATGTGCATTCTCGAAATTCAACAAATGAAAATATTGGTTTTTTCCCAAACTCGAAATGATTTTTTCCAAACTGTCTCCTATTGGCTACCTGAGTATGATGGTGTGTATAAAAAATGACCTTTCCTTTCCCACCTGCAGCAAAGTATGTGCGACCTCTTCTAAACAACTCTCCTTAATTCTATGATTCTGTGTCTCCTTTATCGATTTGATGGTGTCCTATTGGTTACACATGTATCAAATATTTTTCAAAATCAATACTTCTCATCTCTTCTAACCAATGAATAGTCGATGTAACCTACTAGAATTACCTTAGTTTTTGAATTTAAAAAAATCTTAAGTATGCACCTTTCATCTTCAATATTATCGTACACGCCCACTTCAAACACTATAAATGATTGAGGACAATAGTTAGTCTACCAAAAATACTCTTGAAGTGGGATACTCTGCCACGTCAAACACAACTTAAGTAAAAGTGAAAAAAGTGATTGTGAAAAAAGAATTTAACCAAAACGAATAAAGTAAAATGAATAACCAAAATCAGTTTTGTCAATCCTGCAAGTGTTTCTTGCTAAAGAATAAGTGGGCAAATCATGTCCGTTCGGAGTTGCATAAGCGAAATGCAATTCAACCCCTTGACGGAAGAGTCAAAAAAATTTCTGAGGGATTCAAGGGAAGAATACTACATTACATGTAAGTAAACGATGGATCGGACTTGATCTTACCAGAGAGTTTCTTGAGTGAAGCTGGATTGTCCCTGCTACCTCATCTCAGCATTTTGTTAGAAAGTTATACTTCAGCAAAAGTAAACTTTGAACTGTTTGCAAAGTATATACTTTTTAAAGAAGAATCTGAAGAAATTGATATGAAAAGTTTTCAAAGTAAAATGACGATCATGAATAAAGATTCTGACTTAGAAAATATCTTCCATGAACATACCATGGAAATAATTTCAAAAACGCAAGAATTTCAAGAGAGAGATAGTAGATGGTCTCTTAAAAAATTGATTCGCTTGGAAATGAATGTGAATCATTATACACCGATGGCTGGTTCATCTTTCATACCACTACCTCGTTTCCTTTTAACGAAAAAAGCAATAGTTAACGTTTGTAACGAAAATGATCATTATTGTTTTAAATGGGCTTTGATTTCTGCCTTAAAAATTGTTAACAGGCCGCAAGGATGTTCGGCATATAATATTGATATATCGCTGGAGATAATTCGTATAAGTGATGAATAATATTAGATTTCACAGGGTTGACTTTCCCCCTTGAAATAAAATGTATAAAACATTTTTTAAAGAAGAATACTCGTATCAGTTTAAACGTATTCGGATATAATGAAAAGACGAGGGAAATAATTGGACCGCTTTTTCAATCGGAAGTGGAAAAGCCTCTTCATATCAATATGATGTTTTTGGAAGAAGGTGGAAATGGACATTACATGTACATTAAAAATATTTCAAGGTAAATTCTTTTATACATTTTTATCTCTTTTAAGCAATGAACTAATTTGTATATATTTCTCTTTCAAAGACTGATGACTGCTCAAAGAGGAAAACAGAGAAGGGCGCAATTTTTCTGCAGTGTGTGTTTGAATTTACGGAACCCAGGAAGCTGCATTAAAACACAAGACGCTCTGCAGTAGGAAGGTTTCAAAGATGCCGCGCCCCCAGAATAACACACTGGAATTCACCCAAGTTCAACATCAGCTTCAAGTTCCATTTGTTGTCTACGCGGATTTTGAATGCATTCTGGAACCAAAAAATTTTGAAGTGAGCCCCAAATTATTTAATATTAATGAACATATTCCAATATCATATGCGTGTTATATAAGGAGTGCTTTTGATTCTAGACTAGATAAATTTGTTTTAGAAACAGGAAAAAATTCGGGAGTAAGTTTTGTAAATTCATTGATAACAAATTTAACTAAATTGAGTGATGACTACTTACATAAAATAGTTCCTATGAGAATGACTTTGGATGACCAGCAAATATTTGATAATTCATTGAATTTTTCTATTTGTCAGAAAGTTTTAGGGACTGATAGGGTTATAGATCATTGTCATTTCACAGGTCGTTTCAGAGGTGCAGCCCACTCTAAATGTAACCTGGATTATAAAGTTAACAAATTCATACCAATATTTTTTCATAATTTTTCGAAAAACGACTGTCATTTTTTTATTCAAGAGTTGGGAAAGATTCCCGGTGAAATTTCCGTATTACCAATAAATAAGGAAAACTATATTTCTGTCTCAAAGAAAATAAAAAGTTTAAGTGGAAATAGTTTTGAAATTCGTTTTCTCGATACATATGGATTTATGCCATCAAGTTTAGATACCCTAGCTTCTAATTTAGTTGATGATCAATTGAACACTGTTAAATCGTTTTTCAGTAATTATATAGAATTTGGACTAATGCGTAGGAAGGGTATATTTCCCTATGAATATTTAGACTCCGCTAGTAGACTCGAGGAAACTTCCCTCCCACCAAGGGAAGCATTCTATAGTAATTTAACGGAAAGGGAATGCTCCCAGGAAGATTATGATCAAGCTCTTAAAGTTTGGTCGCGTTTCTCTTGTTCCACTCTTAAAGATTATTTAGAATTATATTTAAAAACTGCTGTATCTCTTTTAACCGACATTTTTGAAAACTTCCGAAAAATTTGTATGCAAATTTATTTACTTGACCCAGCTCAGTATTTTACAACACCAGGTCTATCTTGGGAGGCAATGTTGAAAACTACAAATATTCAACTTGAATTGCTGACAGATATAGATATGTATAGATTTATTCAAAGTCATAGATATACAAAAGCAAATAACAAATATTTGTCAGATTATGATTCCTCGAAGGAGTCTTCATTCTTAATGTATGTGGATGCGAATAACTTGTATGGTTGGGCAATGTCACAACCTTTACCATATAAAGATTTTAAGTGGACGTCTACCACAGATATAGACAATTTTGATATTAATAATATTCCAATCGATAGCAAATACGGTTATTTTTTGGAAGTGGACTTAATATATCCATACCGTTTACATGATCTTCATAATGATCTTCCATTTTGTCCGTCAAACTGTCTGGCCTCAAAAGAGGATAAGGTAAACAAATTAATTGCTGACCTGGGAAATAAGAAAAATTATGTAATACATTATCGGAATTTGCAAAAATGTATACAGAATGGGTTAGTATTGAAAAAGATCCATAGAGGTGTTTAGTTTTTACAAAAGCCTTGGTTAAAGAATTACATTGATCTAAATACTTTACATAGGCAAATTGGAAAAAATAAATTTGAAAAAGATTTTTTTTAATTAATGAATATTTCCGTTTACGGAAAAACAATGGAAGATCCCGAGCGCAGGGTCGATATTAAGCTTGTTAGTACATGGGAAGCTCCGGATAGCTCGAAGACTGGACGAAAAGCACATTGTGCCAAAACTTTAATTTCAAAATCCAATTTTCATAGTGCAACTAAAATAAATGATAATTTCTATGCAATTCAAATGAAAAGATTGTCCGTTCTATTTAATAAGCCAATGTATTTAGGATTTCATTATTTTCATTATCAATATATGAAGCCAAAGTTTCAGGAAAACTTACTCTTAAATTATATGGATACTGATTCATTTATCTATACAATAAAAACTGAAGATTTTTATAAAGATATTCGTAATGATCTTGAAGCAAAACTTGATACATCGGACTATTCAGATGAAAGAAATAATCTATATAACTTCAAAAGAGTTAACAAAAAAAAGTTTAGGGTTTCTTAAAGATGAGCTTAACGGTAAACTCATGACAGAATTTGTAGGCGTGTGCTCAAAGGTTTATTGTTATAAAATAGATCAAGTTGAATCTTCACATAATAAAGCAAAGGGAGTGAGTTCACGAAATCTTACAATTGAAGACTATAAAAATGTTTTATTAACTGGGGCCTCACTATATGGTAATAGAACAATGGTTAGATCAAAAGCACATAAAATAACTACAGTTAAAGTAAATAAAAATATTCTTTGTGGCAAAGATAACAAAAGAAAACGTAATGTTAATGGAACACAATTTTTAGAGTTAAGAAATGAAGACCATGGTACGACATCAATAAAACATCAGAGATTAATTGAAAAAGATATTTTAGGAAATGTTGAATGGCTAGAATCAAATTCATTTTGCTTGGGTGAGATGATACAAAATAATTATGTGAACGATGGAGAATCATTAGATAGCCTTAAATTTCAAAAGGAACATATTGAAAAAAAAACTATTTTATAAATCAGTTGAATTGGAGATGTTTTATTATGATCGAGACTTCGGAAAATATAAATGAAAATGATTTTGAGTTTGTAAAAAGTGTTTTTATTATATTTAATTTTAGTTTAAAACATTGTACAAAAATGTTAATATTAAACTTATACAAATAAAAATTAATTAAATAAATAATTTATTATACTACAAAATGTCTTCCTTGTTTATCCAGCTAGTCTTTGAAAACCCGAGCCACTTAACCAAAACTTTATTTCCTTTTCGCCCTTTTCAACTAGGTATGTGTGGGGAAATCGTCGTTTTTTCAGTTCTTCTTTATAGAATCCGCCCTGAATCGGGCTACCATCTAAATCTTCAAGTAAGTATGTTTTAGGGTATGTGTTCTTCACCTTTCTAATTTTAAAGATTTCTGTTGTATAGTTTGGTGTATACCCTTTCTCAAGGACATGTTTGTATTTACTGATACGAACGTGGTCCCCCTTACGGAATTTACTTGCAACAAATATTTTCAGGTGATTATACGATGTTTGTAATATT